CAAAGGTGCAGTAGGTGCTAAATAATTCAAAATATTTAAAATAAAATTTCCATGCTGATCGTGCAGCTCATCCATTATTCAGCCAGTTGTGTGTCATGTCCAATCTTACTTTGAAAAACCACGAAAGAGTGAATCCGCAAAAGTCGAACCGCAAAGTATATTCAAATAGTAGAATATATTTAAACCACCCACCCAGATCATTTGAGGAAACTATGCTTTCTAGTTTTCATATTTCTTAAAATTATTGTTTCCTAGAATGATTGGGGTGGCTGGTGGGGTGACTGAAATATAATCTATGATGGCCAAGGCCACCACTGGCCACCCCCTGGCTCCATCATTGTGCCCTGTAGTGGATAAAATTGCTCCCTTCACTCGCCAGGATAGTCAATCTCCACCACTTCGGACAAAAACAAAAAAAAAACTACCTTCATTCCTAAGTGTAAGTCGTACCCGTGTACCAAAAACATTAAGGTTTACTTTCATTCCCTGTTCCAATTCCAGTCCAGAAAAATGCTCATCTCTAAAACTACAAACATTCACTGACATCAGCTTAGTAAACCTAAATAACACCTGCAGCCAGGTATTCTTATTACACTGAAGTGTAACTGTAAGACTCTAACATTGAACTTTTATTTTTATTTTTTTATATACATATTCCATTTTAGTCTTTGGATTTGTCCCTGACCATGATCTCTGGACAGACGGGAGCGTTGCTCGGACATCCTGTGCCTTTCAACCTCACAGGGCAAGGGAAGCTCATCGGACCTTTGCTGCACAAGACCCAGCAAGGAGCATTCTACATCTTGTTTGGACTAGGTGAAGGAGAAGAACAATCTAAACTTTCTTCAAAAAAAATACTCATCAGGCAGCACGTTGCAAATAAAAGTAGCTAAAAACAAAGAAGATACAAAGTTTAAAACAGACTGAACAGCTAATCCACATCCCTAATGCTGTTACTGTGATTTTAAAATAGATTTGTTTTACATTTTAACCGTTTTACAAGTCCTCATGTCCTTGTCTGCTTTCTCAGGTAACGTCCAGGCCATCTCTTTGCAAGATATCTACTTTCGAGCCTTTGGAGACATGGCCATCCCTCAGCCGCTTCGGAAGAAGGATACGGTGTGGGAGGCACTCAATAAAAGCGATTTGTCCTCCGTCATACGCATTCACAGGTACGCCTCAGATGACGGGCCCAGATTCATTTGGCCCAGCCAGTTAAACGGGCTTTTATGTTTAATATCAAACTATTCAGTTAGTACAAAGGAGACCAGTTATTAGGATTACTTGATGAGTTTCATTGTAATCTGTCCAGTAGTTCATGAGATATTTTGCTTACAGACACATGCACACACGGGCAAAATCATTGCTTTTGGCAGCTGGCGATAAACATCAGATTTATCTCAGCACTGATGCTAAAACTACCGTATTTTCCGCCGTACACGTCGCTCCGCCCTATAAGTCGCATCAGTACAAATATGTCTAATAATGTGGAAAAATCCATAAATACGTTGCGTCTCTTATGTGTCACTGCTGACAACCCAGAAATCAACCTGGAAATGTGGGCTGGTTTTGCTCCAAAAATCGATGGGTTGCCGCAGGAGTGTGCACGAGAGGACTTTAACAAGAATTTAACAAGATTAACACTTAAAAACAATTATTTGTTTGCTCAAAATTATAGCAAAGGTGTGTCTCAGTCTAACTTTTACTTAATAAATGCACTCCGACGATCAAATCAGCTGCATTTCAAAAGCCGATACACGGAAACATGAACGCGCAGAGGGCGACTCGCTGTCCTTTTGTTCGAAGTTTAACAAGATAACCACCTAAAACAATTATTTGTTTGCTCGACTTTATAACAAAGGTGTGTCTCAGTTGAACTTTTACTTAATAAATGCACTTTAACGGTCAAATCAGTTGCATTTCGCGAGGGCGGCGCAGCAAAAATGAAGCTGATTTGATGGTCGATGGTGGCAGGCTATTGCATCATTAATAGCCACTTTTACCTATTACATGACACAACGGCATGCCATACTGTTCGACTGCCATCTAGGGGCTGAAAATAGTAGTGTTCAATATTTTCAGTCAGAATGAATGAAAACAGTCATATCTCAGACAAAATTGTTTATAAATATGGGAAAAAAATTCTTAAATACATCGCTTTGGCGTATAAGTTGCAGGACATGTAAATTATGCAAAAAAACTGACTTATAGGCTGAAAAATACGGTAATTGAAATTTCTCCGTTGTCTTCTTCTGAATCAGAGGATCTGAGCGTGTGGAGTTCTTGCTCCCTCTTGTGGCTGATTGGGGGATTGACGGCAGCAGCCTGGACACAGTTTCTAACCTGAACTCCACCCGGAGCGACTGGGTGTTGGTTTATGGTGCCAGCACGCTGTCGGTGGTCAGACAGCGGGACTTGCGCAAAGAGTGGGCGTTCAACATGGCTGCTATTCACAGGTAACAGCTGTGCACCATGAACTTTTCGGTTTCCACAACAGAACAGGAACACAGAGAATGAATCTGAGTTTGTTTGACATTGGTGTGCCCATCATCTTGACATGAGAGTCTTTAAAAATATGAATCTATTGTAAAATAAATTGCAGAGTTTTCCTTAAAGGGTGTTTCTTCTTGTTATAGTCAACCAGCTGTGGGACACTTTGACAATGATGGAACACTTGATATTTTCGTTCAGCATTCAGCATATGGTATCATGCAGGTAAAAAGTCCTTTTTTATTGAAACAGAAGCACAGACATTTTATTTATTTTGAAATTAGGATCTGGACTCACCATTAATCAACACTCTTTGTCTCTTAGGCAAAGATTATTAACGGGGCGAGTGGTAGCGTTCTCTGGGCAGCTGATTTTGTGTGCCCCCACCTAGTTGTGAAAGCATCTGCAATATCCACCTCAACTGGCCAATCAGCTTTCTTGTTCTGGGCCAGCGATCCTATCAAAGCCCAGAGGAATGTTACCAGGACTACAGTGAGTTTGCTTGTCAAGAAGAAGGAAAAAAAAAAAATAAAAATCTTCAGCTCAAGAAGCTTTTACTGTATTTATCCGTCTGCTCTTTCCATTTAGACGGCGCCAGGCTTTGCTGCAGCGAGGCCCCTCATCAGAAGGCTCTTCCTGCTGCATCCTACGTATCCCACAGTTCTGCTGGAGCTCAGCAACACAACAGATACAGCAGTCACATCTGCAGGTAGTCACATTCACTGGGAAACAACATGCAATAAGGTTATTTTTAGTCAAGTAGGTTAAAAAAAGGACTTTCTTTCTGACAGTAAGTTACCTGGGGCGTCTGAGAGATGCCACCTACATCACCGTATCGTCCCGACCCACACCTGACTCTGAGCCTGGCGCACGGATCGTGAAGAGCATGAGCCTCAGAGCTGCCATCGGCAGAGGACAAATCGTCAGGCTGATGGAAAACAGCAACCTGAAAGGAGCCGTCAACCCTGGAAGCCTCAACATGTTCTTCAGGCGTCTCTAGACGTCGGGTAAAACTGCAAAATTGGCTTATTTCGCTAGCTGCAATGACACCCTTCAAAGTTGGACAGTTTAATTCAGTAGTCTGTAAACTAAAGCCTCTTTTTTATCTGTATTTCTTTGTTTAGGGATGAGCGCTGGTACTATGACCTTTGCACGATGAGCTGAGGAATGAACGATTCTGCACTATGAAGACACTTCCACTAAGTAAACTTTTAATTTCTGTTGGCCGCGAAAGATTTCTCACAGTTTTGTACAGTAAAAGTGCTTATTTTAAATTATTAAGTTAACATTGAGAAGTTTGTTGTATTTATTTTACTGAAGTACGTTTATACTAGTTTTGTTTTTGACAGTGAAGCACAATATGATCCAAAAATATGTGAATGCATTACTGAATAGTCCTCATCTAAGGTCACTGTTTTCATTTCTACTGTCATAAAGCTGCTTGTTCTGTTTTTATCAGCGCTTGAAAGAAGCAGTTAAGGGAGTTTGTAAATATTTAATGCTGTACAGTTTTTATTGGTTTAAGGCTTTTTTCTTGTTTGACATGTCAAGGTTTTTCAAAGATTGTATGATTTAAAATTGTTGTATTTTATTTAAATGTAACATGGCATTCCAAATAATGCAAGTAAAATGCTTCAAATACCTTAATTTCACCGTCTTTGTTTGAACATGAAAAAAGGCGCCGTTTCACCTCATGAACGCAAGATGGCGCTGCTGTAACAATATTTGCCCTTCGTGTTGCCAGGTATAAGATAATTGTTGTATTTATACGATCATTTTGGTTACAACATAACGATACTTGTACAGTAGTCTGTTTATAAGCTCACATATACAAACGTTGTGGCATTTTCGTGCGCTGTAAAAAATAATTAACGTGAACACATCATCAGAAAGTCCGATTCAACCAGTCCAACGGTGCTCAGGCGCATCTCACTTCCTGGATTAAAATACGACCATTTTAAAGCAACAGTACCACATTTCGTTATTTCCTATCTGGCAACCGTCCAGCTGCATCAGTCGCTGTAAACATGGCTTCGGTCCTCCTCGGTCGACTGGTCAGGCTGTCGGTCGTCAGGAGCTCCCGCTCCTCCACACCGAGATCCTTGGTGTCGGGGAGGACCATCACACCGAGTCGGACCGCCGTGTGCTCCTCGACCGGCGCCATTCTGCCCAAACCCAAAAAGGTGAGCAACTGACGTTAAAAATAATATATGGTGTTCAAAAAGCCGGTTTATTATGATTTTTTTTTTTTTTTTTACACCGAAGAAGAAGAGCAAAATAAAACCGTAGAAGAAGAATATGCGTGTTCTACTGAAATCCTTAGAGCTTCTGGACTGACAGTTGTCTCTGTGGTTGCACTTTGTTCCGGGGAGCAGACCCCGTTCGGTCTGATCCGGATCGCCGTGGTCGTGGTTCCCTTCCTGTACGTGGGGACCCGGATCAGTAAGAACTTCGCGGCGCTGCTGGAGGAACACGACATCTTTGTTCCTGAGGATGACGACGACGACGACTGACAGACTCAGGTTATCAGGTAGCACGAGAGTAATTAAACCAGGAGAATTTAGTCAACCTGCCTTAACATTGTGGGTTGCAAAAGTATTCACCCGTGTAGTATTATATTGTATAAATATATATTTCTATTTTATTACAATGAATACAGTTAAACAAATGATGATCTCAGGAATAAATACACCTGTTCTGATAGCCCCAGAAGGTGCTATAGTAAAACTTTATACTTTGTCAGTCAAAGACAACACTGTCTTACACAAACTTCTCTTTAAGCTGAGGATACCATGTCCACAGTGAAGCATGGGGGTGGCAGCATTATGCTTTAGGGATGGTTTTATCAGCAGGGACTTGGAAACAGGTCAACGTTAAAGGAAAGATGGATGGAGCAGGAAATGGACAGATTGAGTCTCTGCGACAATGCCAGGGAGGGATGAGGGGAATGCTTTTGCAATCCAGTGTACCACAGATTTATTGGGTACGACAGGTTAATCCAGAAGTGTATTCACATTGTTTTTTTTTATTTTTTTATTAAGTCTTAGTCCATGTTTTCATCTTATGTTCACCTTGTTTTAACTAGCAATAAATACACGTAGCCCCACAAATTTGTGGAACGTGTAAGTGAATAAAATAGCAGCACATGTAGACTGACACGAATAAATTTGGTCTCTATCTCAGTTTTTGTGAAACCAATTAAACCAGGATGCTCTGACAAGGTCTGGTCAAGACCAGCTTTCTTTTTAAATCCCAAATTACTAGATTGCTCTTATTTAAATAGCTTTTAAATCAAGAATATATTCAGTCCTGTATTTGTCACACCTTTCAAATTGTAGTACAAACAACAAAAGTTTAGTTTTCAGTCTTGCAGCCGTTTCCAAACCCACTGTAAGATTAAAATGAGATTTCTTTTTTCCCCACAGATGATCTTGTTTGATCGTTACCACCTGCAGGTGTGAATGAATACCTCCCTGAAGATTTTGCTGCTGTTTTACAAATTGAGCCTGCCTGCACAGGTTTCAGGGATTTTGTTATCGACAGACACAGCGCTGTCACCAGCTCTTCGTATTGTACTGTATTTGCATGCACTACTTCCGTCTAAATAAACTGATTAAAGATCTAAATCCAACAGTGTCAGTGAGCTTCAGTGGGCGATCGACTTCAGAACAGACACGTTTTGGTTAACTATGTCCTGATATTTCATCATATTCAGTATGTGATCATTATAAAGCGAGCATTAGCTTATTTTCTGGCAGAATACACAGGGTAAGTTTTGTTTGTGTTAGAGATTGGGTGAAAAAAAACCAGTGGAAATGGACTGCAAGGCTAAAGCAGCCATATTGGTCATGATGAATTAACAATCTGAGCCCTCTTAAAACATTTCAGGCTTCTTGCAAACAAAATATGAAATGTAGCGGGATGCAAAAGTGAGTTTTGCAGGAAAAAATAGGTCTCCCTGCAGCTTCCACTTGAAGACCTGCTTCACTTGCTCTGATGAGAGAGCGCATACTGTAGAAAAACAAGTGAATCTGAGGCCGAACAAATGACAGTTAAAGGTATGCGATTGTTAAAGCATGTATTTACATCAAAGAGGAACACACTGGACTCAAACAAAGATGGATCAGAGGTCAGATTGCAGTTGCAAAGCTCATGGGTCATGACCCTTGTAGAATTTGGACAGGAAGTCCGTTGGTTGAGGTTCTTTCGTCGTGCTGAAATAGAACATCACGTGGGACTTCTGCTTCCAGATGTTGACCGTTTCCTCAAGTTCCATTTTACCCTGAAATGGAAGACGACTTAAAACACTGTGGACTGAAAGGTCCAGTGTTGCTCTGACAAATAGTCCACATTAAATAAACTCAGCTGTCAAGAGACTTAAGATCCAACACAACCTGTGTCAAGAACTTAGTGACCAAAAACAAAACTTTGTTCAGAGAGTGAGAACGCTTGTGGTTTACCTTCATGACGAAGATGTCGATCATTCGAATGTCAGTGACATGCTTGTTCTTGTCAAACATCTCGCGCAATTTGGCTCTTCCCTGGACTACGGTGAGGTCCAGCAAATGCACCGTCACTGCAGACAGCAGCAATTATTTGGTAAGAAAATTATACTTCAAATCAAAAATATTGACCATATTGGGTTTTTATCTGCATACATGATGGGTCTGCGCCAATGTTCCATTTAGAGCCAGTGTCAATAAAACTACAAACCACGTGATTAAAAAATGACAGCTTGAACAATTTAAAGAATTACTTGTTAAAAGCAGCTGATTGTGAAGTGTGGTTGAGTTTGATTATATATTTGACAATGCTGAATATAAACAGCACGCATTCAAGACATTTTGTCACAACACTGAAGCTTCTAAAAACTGTTTAGACAAATGTAACATATTGGACACAAATCAGTACAGACCATAGTTTCAGAACTGAATCATTAAACTTTTATAAACAATTTGGTTTACCAACTATCATGATGCGTTCAATGACACTATGTAAACTTGATAAGCCTTCACTACAGAAGGTAACTGATTACAGTTCGCGGTTTCCTCGTTTACTAAAACTTATTAAACACCAACATTTCTAACAAACATCAGAAAATATTGCGTCTGTGAATACTGTTCTGGTTGCATTTCTGTTTTCTAGCAGCTAACCTGAACAGAGAGACTGTAGAGACTAGAGTCGACCTTGACGATAGAATGGCTTCTTAACGCACCATAACCGCCGCAGTGGATCCACATACCTGTGTTGGGCACCTCCCGGTACCAGGCTCGGTACAGCTCTCGGACCCTGCGTTTAGCTTCGTTCAGATCATGGCTAAATATTGGTTTTACTGCTTTTCCAGCACCCGCTGCCACACGGGTCGCAGCCGAGGACGCCATGACTATGCTGTTAGTCGTCAAAGCACTTCCGGTTAAATTCAATAAAATAAAAAAAGGCTCTGATGCCCCCTAGTGGCAAAACTGGCATAACAACGCAGACAAGTACAAATAATTAAAGGTATTTTAAGATATTTTAAAGATATTTTAAAGGTATCTCTCTTTTTTTTTCTGAGAGTCAATATGGAAATAAAATTCCCGAACAGCATTTTGCACACTACTCACTGATAGGAATAGAATAACTTTTACAACAAAATTGCAGATGGCCCTCCTAAGATGCGATATATGAAAATATATGAATACACAACACAAAAATCACTAAAATGTGAAAAAAGATACACACTCAGTCTATGTCTGAAATAATGCACATTAGTGTGATTTAGAAAGTTTTGCAAGACTGATTATGTTTGCATTTTCATATTTTTCAAATTGTGGTAGGAAAAAAGTGTATAAGCAATAGGATTAACCGCACCCTGGATAGGATGGTGAAACAAAACCCATTCCAAAATGTGGGGGAGATTCACAAAGAGTGGACTGCAGCTGGAGTCAGTGCTTCAAGAACCACAACGCACAGACGTATGCAAGACAAGGGGTTCAACTGTCGCATTCCTTGTGTCAAGCCACTCTTGAACAAGACAAAACGTCAAAAGTGTCTCGCCTGGGCTATAGACAAAAAGGACTGGACTGGTTCTGAGTGGTCCTCTGATGAAAGGAAGTTTTCATTTCCTTTAGAAATCAAGGTCCCAGAGTCTGGAGGAAGAGAGGAGAGGCAAAAAATCCACGTTGCTTGAGGTCCAGTGTTTAAACAGTCAGTGATAGTTTGGGGTGCCATGTGTTGGTCCACTGTGTTTTCTGAGGTCCAAGGTCAACACAGCTGTCCAACAGGAGGTTAGAGCACTTCATGCTTCCTGCTGCTGACCAACTTTATGGAGATGCAGATTTTAT